TGTCCTTAAGTCGAATTTGTAAGTAAGCCAGAACAGTATTATTATATAATACTGTATAAGTAGTATTGTGTGATGAACCTGAACCATTGTGTATTTAACTCGAATTTTGCTATAGTAGGCTCTGTTCTTAACTATAGGTCATCTCTAAATCGGGCATTCTTAACCCAGGGACTACTGTATCCTATTGCAAATGAAAAAGGCTCAGGCTGAAGTGAGATTTAAAACTCTGATTTCCAAACATACTGAACTATTGTATGATACTATTTCTCATTTACAGCTCAATTTTTGTTTGCAGTGGAAATACAGCTGCCCAGTTATCTTGAATTCAGTCAGCATGGCCAGATCCATCCATTGCTTTCCTCTTGGCTACTAAAAAGCAGATGCAAAAATCACAAGTTTTGAATCTATTTCCCATTCTTCCAGGAATAGGCCAGGAGACTGCAAAGTGTGCTTTTATTCTTGAAGAACAGTTTTAGGTTTAGTTGCTCATCAGACTTTGAAGCAGATTTCACAAATGGCTAGTAACAGTGAGACATGCAGTTCTGTTGCATCTTCCAATAACAATGCATTTTATAGAGAATTGTGTAGGAATCAGTCAGAAAATCCATTTAAATCAGAAGCATCAGGTGACACTCAGGAGCAACTCTTTGAGGAACCCACCTTTCATGTACAAGTAAATTAATTTTCTGGCTCTCATGAGTTCAAGGATAGATTTGAAACTGATAGCTTCTGTCCCCTCTCCCCAAGTCAAGACTATATTGTTATTTTAATACTGAAATATTTAAAAAACATTAGCAATTTCCTAATTTAATAAGCAAAAGTTGCAGTTCTAAGTCTATTTGTTCGATGAGGGTAAGCTTCCATTTGGACCTGGGAACCATTTGTAATGTTGAGAGAGCATGTGGTATGTGATCTTGCAAAATGGTTGCCATGTTGGGAAGGGGCTGCATATTCACAGGATGGCACCACTTAGCTCTTCACCTCTTTGTCTGACTTGGTCAATAATGTTTGTCAAAAGTCTGGACTGAATTGGGGCAAATTAGGGGAAAGGAGTGCAAAGCCTTGATGTTTGTTCACTAGTGTGACATCATGGTTTAATTACATCTCAATCAATCTGTAAAATCAAAAACTGATTGATTCACATTCCCATGGATTTTAAATTTCCCATTAACAATTAAAAATGACGGATTTGACTAGTTAAACAACTATGTAAGTAATCAGTCACTTTCCTAATAGGAAATTAAACAGGATGTTTAGGTTAGGAAGCCCCACCTGTTGAGATGTTCAATACATCCTCCGAGCTGCTTTGTAAGATGTCATAGATCAATAGTTCTCTTGCAAATAAGAGAAGAAGATAACTGATCAGTACTTATATAACAATGCATACTAATATTTAATAGGGCTTTGCGGTATTTCAGATTGTTGGAAAGAGGTACATCGGAATATGCAAGAAAGCGAATATGGCACCCACCTACAACTCATTTAAGCAGCTGCATCTACTTCCAAGTTTGGATAGGTGCTGTGAGGCTTCCATGTCTAGAAACAGATGCAGCTGCTTTAATGAGTGATGGAAAATTGACAATTCATATTCCCCTGCAGTCCAAATGATCTTTTCCAAATTTATGTAGCACATATGGAGTAATGTAGGAGTTTTCCACCTGCTAGTTTCATTTGAAGTGAATAAAACTATTGACCACCTCATTTTAAATGGATACATTTATTTTTATAATGCTTTGAAAGAATGTACATTTATTTTAATAGTTTGCTTATTTTAATTATGGGTGTGTGCATATGGGTATGGGTGTCATTCCCAACTGCTCTCTTCTGATTCCTTTAGCTGTTTGAAGGCATGAAGGCATACCGAGGTGTGGATGGCAAAATACGCTTGTTCCGACCAAGACTCAACATGGACAGGATGTTGCGGTCAGCTGTGCGAGCAACTTTGCCAGTGCGTAATGGAGACATCTGCTTTTGTTCCCACCCTCCTTTGGTTAGATAGCTTGGAATAGGATGAAATTGTTAATGTTCCCTTGTAACCAGGCATCTTTTTTTCTACCTTATTCTCAAGGCGCCAGAGAATTTCTTTCAAATTTCTCTTGGTAATGTTTTTTTGTGCTGATTTGATTGTTGAAGGTGCTACTGCTGTTTTCCATTCCAACTCTTTCCATCACTCTGATGCCTGCTTAGCTATCTACACTTACCTCTTAGAAAGAAAGAAAGAGAGAGAGAGAGAGAGCGCGAGAGAGAGAGAGAGAGAGAAAGAGAAAGAAAGAAAGAAAGAAAGAGAGAGAGAGAGAG